GCGTAGCCGACGTCGATGGTGGCCTGTCCGAACGACTGATGGATGCCGACGAGCCCGCTGATGAAGTCACCCTCGCTGCAGCTGTTGGTGCTGACGGGGCCGTCGTTGCTGCTGAAGCTGGAGTCGGCGCAGTCCTGTGCGCCTGGGAGTTCAGCCAGCGTCTGGACCCGCTCTGGTTGTCCACATGGCGGTGGATCTCGGCCTGATACTCCATCTGGTCGCCTTGCTCTCGAAGCATGAGAAACCAACGATGGTATCGCGCTCGTGCTCGGGCTCGCTCTTGCCAGGCGCGAGTGCAGATGCCCCTAGCCATCCTGAGGCGAGCCTCTAGTGCATCGACCCCTTGCTGAGCCGCGATAGCCTCCAGGATGGGAGCGAACACGTCAGCTCCAAGCTGGGCGCTCACAAAGGGCACGCAGTGCTCACGCCATTCTCGCCTGCCCTCCTGCTCGCAGTGCACGTCGGGCTCTGGCGTCATCCATGCACTTGCCACGGTGCGTAGCAAGTGTAGAAGTTGTCGCTGCTGCTGGTCAGATCGGCCTCGAGCGTGTGGGTCCAGTTTGTCGTCCGCCTCGCACGCTTGCCAGTCAGCCCACGAGGCATGTCCTGACCGACCAACCCTCTCGGAGGCGAGGGTCCGACGAACCGCAGCCTCATCCTGTCTGTGGTGACACTGGCGGTGGTCGTCGGCCGATGCGTCGTACTCGATCAATTCGTGGCAATCGTCGCTGTGGTTGTGATATGTGACGCTGGAGTCATGGTCTGAGTTGAAGTCCTGGTGCTTTGGTCCCACTGCGCGTCGCCTGCCCTGACGGCGCCATCGGACCTCTGCGGGTCGCTGATGCTGAAGACGCCGCCGCTCTCGACGTCGCTGTCGTCGGAGCCCAGCAGCTCCTCCTCGCAGATCTTGCCCCAGTAGCTGTAGACGTTGGGGTTCCTCTCTCTGCCTGGAGGGCCGATGGGCGGGGCCTGCCCCGTGCGCGCAGGGTGACCAGCCCACGCTCGCATGTTGTGCTCGTAGTTGTGCATGTCCATAGCCAGGCGCCTCTGCGCCGCGTTGAGCGACGCCAGCCAGCGCAGGCACCCCCGCCGACGATGGTCATTTCTCTGCCACGAGAGCGCACACATCTCAGCTGCCATCTGGCACGGGCTCTGATTGCGAGCATCTAGGAGCCACGCAAATCTGGGGTGGCTTAGCTCACCTGTCAGAAATATGTTGCAGCTGTCCAGGAAGTCCAACCTGTCGCTGTCATGCTGGCCGAAGCTCGGGTCGGGGAACCAACGCGTGGCCCACTGGTCGATGAGGCGGTCGAGCGCAGGGGCAGGGCTGGATCGGACCCTTCTCCGCGGCCCTGGGGGCTGCTCAGGCCGCTCATCGCATTCCAATTGTGCGTCCGTCATCTGAGCTGCGAATATCAAGTCATCCTGCCCAACCCCTCTCGCCATGCCCCACCGCCTCCCGTGGGCGTTGGAGCCCCGAGGGAGGGGGCAGGCTGCGGCATCGACCCTGGACCAGCCAGGGTTTGAAACGTTGTAGTTGTAGGCGTCGGCGCCCGCGCTGCCGTCATGCCCATAGTCTCCCAAGGCTGAGGGGAAAGACAACGTCGAATGTCTATCTTCTGAGTGGTCAAAACTGCAGTGCACAAGATGGTCGAGCTGGACTGTCCAACCCGCATCCTGCGCCTGCCCCGAGTTAGAATAATGGTGTTCATGGTGGCCTGTGCTAAAGCCGCTGCGGTTGCGTCTTGGTGGTCGCGGCCTGCGCCAGCTTCTCCTTGGCGGCCTTGACCACCGACGGAGTGGCCTCGGCTGCTGCCTCGGGCGGCTCGGCACCAGCTGGCGCTGGCTTGGCTGACGGCGGTGCCGACGCGGCAGTGGCCTTGCCAGGCGTCGGCGGGGCCTTGGCCTGTGGGGGGGGGGGGCCTTGGCGTCGCCGCTCGCCGGCCCGCTGGTGCTGCCGTCAGCCGTTGCTGCTGCAGGCTCCGCGGAAGGGCGAGGCCGCTTGGCCTTGAGCCGCTCCTTCTGCTTGGCTTGCTCCTCTGTGATGGCAGCCGCCTTGGTCTTGAGGTCGCCGAAGCAAGCCTTGGCCGCCTCGGTGAATTGGCGCTGGAGTTCATCCTTACGGCGTTGTGCCTCTGCCTTATCCTCGGCGGTGGCGACGTCGTCCAGTTCGTCCAGCCCGAACATCCCTCCGTCGTCCAGGCGGATCCCTTGGCCGTCCAGCAGCGAGGACAAGTCGATGGCGGGCACTGCAGCTGCAGCATCTGGCCGCGTGGCGCCGTCATCCGCGACAGACGAGGCCAGTCTCTTGACCGCAGCTTGATAGAGTCCACGGGCCAGGCCGACCTCTGATGAAGCTGCTGCCACTTCAGATTGAGCTTCATTGCACTGGGCCGCCACACGATCAAAGCGCTCAACTGCACGGCGAAGAGCTGCTTCTGCTTGCTTGACACGTTGACTGGCGGATCCGACGGTGATGGAGGCTGCCTGCTGAGACTGCCGATGTTCGTCCAACCGCTTCTGGTACTTGGCAGCCCCGTCGCTGTCGCCCGACTTGGACAGCAAGTGGACCAGGGCCTCCAAGCGCTGCTCCTCTGCGGGCTCGCCCCATTGCTGAGGGTCAGGGTGTCCAGGCTCTTCGCGTCCAGGAGCAGTGCCGTCGGAGAAAGTGACGCTCGGGGCACGGGAGCGGCTGCCGCCTGGGGCAGCTGGGGGTGGGAGCCCCCACCAAGGCCGCCACGCTGGACCCGCTGCTGCACCGCCAGGAGCTGGCGAGCGAGCCCGAGGACGATCAGCACCGATACTGACTGAGCGGCGGGGCGGCTTACCCGACGGGCTCGAGAGCGCGCCCTTGCAGTGTTTGCACCACTTCCACCACGTAAGGTTCTTGCCACAGCCGCACTCGTCGCAGCGCATGAACGTCCCATCGCCGCCCATGAACGAGTCGGGTTGCTGCTGAGCTGAATGGTGTGCAGCGAGGAGCTGCCCCGCCGAGGCCACACGCACCAGCACCCGAGCAGCTGTGCGCTGCTGTCTTTTGCGCCTGTGCCAGGCGCTCTCCTCACGCCTGGGCGTGGCTCGCGGCCACCGCGCCGAGGCGCGCCGAGGGATGTGGGATGTCCTCCCCCTCGGCACGCTGGCGCCGCGGCTCGCCTGAGCCCTGCCTCACGGGCTGGCCGCTGCAATCGCCCGCCCCCGCGGCAGGCGGCAGCGCGCGGCGGGCCCGCACGCGCGCACGCGCGCGAGAGGCCAGATGGGTTTCCTCCTCCTCCTCCTCCTCGCCCTCCTCCTCCTCCTCCTCGCCCTCCTCCTCCTCCTCGTCCTCCTCCTCCCCCCCCTCCAACTTATGGTGGTGGTGGTGGAATACAGGCCCATCATCATCTTGGCGAGACGACCACGAACCAGAAAGGCAGTCCCCCGACGCGCCGAATTCGCACCGGCGCATCGTAAGTATCCACTGTGCTTGTGTTGTTCCCATCGCATTCAAGCGCCACGTCCCAAACATAATTTCGAGCCCCCAGGAAAAGGGTCGAAACCGTGTGGAACGAGCATCGCCTCCCAGGGCACTGCACGTGAAAGCCCTCCAGTTGGGGTACTTGACTGGTGCTCGAAATTATGTCTGGCGATCAAGGCTAAAGTAGGTTGGACCATCATGACACAATACGAAATGGTCCAAGGTCTATATTATGTCATTGCCGGCGCCCCTGTCGATTTTGATCGATTGACTCCCACTCGGGCTCCTCGGCCATAAAATGATGCACCGTGTCTTCAGCTGGGAGGGCGCACAAACAGAATTGCATGTGTATATGGCGGCTTCTCGTTTGTTCTGTCACGTGCTACTGGTCCCCAACTTCCACTGGCACCAGGGGTAACCCCGGCAACAACTCCGTCAATGCCGTCTTCAAGCGCGGCGCACTTACACCCGGGCCACCTCAAGTCAGGACATCTCGAAGCCAGAGATTCCGAGGATGTCTCAGGCGGAATTTCCCTGAGCAGATCGCGGACCACGTCTTGAAACACAGAAGTGTGAGAACGTCTCAAGCGACACGGGCCAGAGCACCTCCATTCAAAGCATCTCGCAGTAGCCCGGGGCTCGGAGGATGTCTCAGGCGAAACGGGCCTGAGTACCTCGCGAACCACATCTTGGAACCCAGGGATGTCTCAGGCGAACCAGACCAGAGCACCTCGCGAGCCGCACCTTGGAACCCAGAGGTGTGAGTTGCGAAGATGTCTCAATCCCAGCGGGCCAGAGAACCTGAAATCAAGGCACCTCGGAGCATGGGGTTCCGAGGATGTCTCAAGCGAAACGGGCCTGAGCACCTCGCGAACCGCATCTTCAACCAAGAGTTGCGAGGACCTCTCAGGCCAAACGGTCAGAGCCAGGGATCCCGAGGATGTCTCAGGCGAAACGTGCCTGAGTGCCTTGCGAACCACATCGGTGAACCCAGAGATGCGAGAACGTCTCAGGCGGAACGGTCCAGAGCACCTCCATTCAGGGCATCTCGAAGCCTGGGGTTCCGAAGATGTCTCAGGCAAAACGGCCCTGAGTACTTCGCGAACCACGTCTTGGAATCCAGAGTTGCTGTGAGGACGTCCCAAGCGACTCGTGCCAGAGCAAGTTAAGTCCGAGCAGAGCCCGAGGTTCCGAGGATGGCCCTCTGCGGGCCGTGGGGCGCACCCAACTCTTTTGAGGGCAACCCCTCCCTGGCACATCCCCGGCACCGCCGTTTGGGTTGCCCAGGTCGCCCGGAGCTGTCCTGGGCGACCCGGGCACCCGGGCTCAGGTGCACTGCCCCCCCCCCCCCGCCAGCCACGGCAAGCCCTGGATGGGGCCCAAGACCGCCCCCAAAGCCAACCGAAATGGCCAGCGAGGGCCATACGGCTCCGAACACTCACCTCCACCCCGTGAAACAAACGGACCGCTCGAAACATGACCACAATCCGGGCGCGAGGCAGCCCATGCCGCGCCAGCCCGGCAGGCGGAGGCGGCGCCAGCCGGCCTTGTGCTCCAACTCAACTCTCTCCTGCTTCTTGCGCTCGTCCGCGTTGAGGAAGGCCTGCCGCCGTTGTCGCCGTGCCTCCCTGCCCCGCTCCCACCTCCCATCTCTCCACGTCCTCCTCCTTCTCCTCCATCCCGCTCACTTGCAACTGACTCCTCTCTGCGTCAGTAGGGCGGGCTGGGCGCTTCGGCCGTGATGAGCTCGAAGCTCGAGATCTGCAACGGTTTCAAGGATGGAGGGCGGGTGGTTTCCAAAATGTGGTTCCTGTAATAGCGCCGCGCACACTTGTTTCTTAGGTTTGCAACCGTTTCAGAGATAGAGGGCGGATAGTATTGACAATGTGGCCCTTGCCTTTAGCGCCGAGCACACTCGTCAAGGATGGAGCGCGAGTGGTTCTCAAAATGTAGCTCACGCACTAGCGCCACACACATTCTTTTGAACTTTATGCAGCAGTTCAAGGATGGAGGGCGGCTCATGTGGCTCTCGCCTTGGTGCCATGAAGATTCGTCTTAAAAGGTCTCAGCATTTGCAAGGATTCGTAGGTTTGAAGTCCCAAGAACTGCGTTCTGGCTCGATGAGGATTGTCCGGAAGAGTCGCGTTGATTCGCAATGTGACGTTCCAGGAATAGCGTCTGGACATGATTTAGGAGTCTCAGGACGCAACAGTCACGTTTGATTCGGGGCATTGAAGTCCTCCCAGGTATGGTGTATGGGCACGACTGAAGATTCTCATACGGTTGTCTTCCAAAGGGGGACTTCCCGCAATGACATAAACTATTACAGGGAGGGTGTACTGCACCATCGGTGATGCATCTGGGGCTTACACTGGTCCTCATCCTCATGCTCGTCTTCCTCGTGTTCCTCATTGTTCCTCCTCCTCCTCCTCCTCCTCCTCCTCCTCCCTCCCTCCCTCTCTCCCTCCCTCTGTCCCTCCTAATGCCTCCACCTCGTCGTCCTCCTCCGATTCAAGCCTCATCATGCTCCTTCCTCCTCCTCATCAACACTACCGCCACAACCACAACCACAATCACCACCACCATCAGCATACTTATTATGACTAGCAGAATCGTCATCATCATCATCATCACCATCATCAGTAGAAGCAGCATCATCGTCGTCGTCACAACCATCAGCATCATCAGCATCATCATCAGCAACATCATCATTAGCATCGTCATAGTCATCCTCATCATCACCATCATCAGCATCATCATCATAATCATCATCATTAGCAGCATCATCATCCTCAGCAGCATCATTATCAGCATCAGCATCAGCATCAGCACCATCATCGTTAGCATCATCCATCTCAACATCATCAGCATCATCAGCATGAGCATCAGCATAAGCATCATTATCAGCATCAGCATCGTGATCATCATAATCAGCATCATCGTCCTCATCGGCATCATCGTCACCAGCATTATCATCATAATAATACTCATCACCAGCATCTTCATCAGCATCAGCATCATCATCATAATCATCATCATCTTCACCAGCATCGCCATAATCGTCAGCATCGGCATCGTCAGCATCATCCTCAGTCTCGACGTCATCATAATCAGCAGCAGCATCATCATCCTCATCTTCATCACCATCAGCATCACCAAAAACAGCAGCAACAGCAACAGCCACAGCATCAGCATTAGCATCAGCATCAGCAGCATCATCGCCATCGCCATCATCACTCGCATCGTCACCATCGACCATAACCATATAATACCATCAGCACTCTAGGCGCAGATGGCTTATAGGATGATCTCTTCCAACCCCAGTATTCCCCTTCGGCGAAGGGTATCTGCGGCCAACATGGAACCATGCCAACCCCATAAGCCCCCCCATCCCTGTCAAAAAAAACAAAACAAAACGCACTCTTCCTCCACATTTGCAGCATGCGCGGCCAACTCGATGCGGCCCCCCCACCATCCCTTTCCAAATACCATACAAAGTGCCGTGGGACTCCCGTGGGCCACTCTCTTGGCCATTTTGAATGACGACTCTCTCTCTCTCTCTCTCTCTCTCTTTCTGCCCATTGTTTCTCTCCCACTCTCTCTCGTTCTCTCTCTCTCTCTCTCTCTCACTTTCTCTTTATCTCTCTCTCTCTCTCTCTCTCCCTCTCTCTCTCTCTACCTCTTTCTCCCCCCCTCTCTCTTTCTCTTTCTCTCTACCCCCTCTCTTTTTCTGTCTTTCTCTCTCTCTCTCTCTCTCTCTTTCTCTGTTGCGGATTCGCAAATTGAATCCTTTGGAGGCGGATTTGCAAGATGCTTCCTTCCGTGGCGGATTTACACATTGATTCCTTTCGTGGCAGATCCGCCACCAACACCGCCGCCACCTCCTCTCCAACTTCCATTTCCCATATTTCGTTGTTCCCCTCCCGCCCCCCACCCCGACATCCCTCCACCACCAGCGACCTTGAGGGAGGGGCCGGTGGTGGCGTGAGCAAGGAGGGAAGGCCTTGAGGTTCTCCCGCCACCACCACCTCGCCCTCTCCTCCCCCGTCCCAGTTCCCCCATCACCTCCCTTCGTCCAGATCGGCCGCCCCCCACTGCGACCACATCTCAATGTCCCCATCCGCTCCCCCCATCGCCCCCTGCCCCCTGCCCCACCCCTCTCGCCGTCTCTCGCGCTCTCGCGAGCCTCGAATAAGGGAGGGATAGCGACTAGGAGGGAGAGAGGATGGGGGAAGGGCGGCGGTGCGAAGGGGGGAGGGGGAGAAGGCGGACGAAGGGAATTGGGATGGCATCCGCGAGGGAGGCAGAGGGGGGAAAAGAGGAAACCATGCCCCCAGTAACACGACTACCAGCAGCTCAATCGTTCTCTCTCTCTCTCTCTCTCTCTCCCTCTCTCGCCTTCTCTCCCTCTCTCTCTCGCTTTCTCTCCTTCGCCCCCCCGTGCCTCCCTCGTTGGCCCCCTACAGCATCGCCACAACTTCCCCCCCCCCCCCCCTGCCTCGCATCCTTCCACTACGCGTAACCGTTCATTCCCCCAAACATCGAGGGTGGCAGTGGTAGGAGAGAGAGAGAGAGAGAGAGAGAGAAAGAGAGAGAGAGAGAGAGAGAGAACAAACAAAAAAAGGCAGGCGGCGGAGGTGGTTCCAGCGGCTGTCATCCCCCTTCCGCACCTCCTTCCCTCTGTAACGCAACCGTTACCATTTCTATCTCTCTTCCCTCTCACCGCCCCTCCCCCCTTCCCTCCCTATTTGAGCGCGGTGGCGGCGCGGAGGGAGAGGGCGCGGGAGAGCGGGGGGAAGTTGAGGGGGGCGGGTGGTCAATGTAGAAACGGAGAAACATGGTAGCGGGAGGGCGCCATATCCCTCCCTCCGCCCACCCATTCCTCCCTCACGAACGCCCTTCACACGCATCAATATCATCCCCCGTCCCGTCCCCCCCTTCCCTCCCTATCGCCCTCTTTCCTCCCTTGCGTGCACATGCGTCTGTGTGCGTGCGTTTGCATGGATGCCTGAACTTGCAAGAAGTATGCGTATGCGTGCAAGTACGCGTGAAGGATATATATATATATATACACATGCCATAAAACATGTGTGTATCTATATTGCACAACCCACGTGAAGGGAGCGGCTGGGGGAAGATGGCGAGGCGGGGCGCAAGAGGGAGGTGGCAGGATGCAAGCGGAGGAGGGGGACCAGGATTATGAGGGAAGGTCCTGTGGTGCGGGGAGGGGGGGGTGGGAAGGGAGGAGGCGAGGAGGGATCAGTGATGCCAGAAGAGGACAGGGGGGGGATGGAGCTGGGGTGGCGGCGGGGAAGGGGGAACCCGGGATGAAGGAGGAGAGAGAAGGGAGGAGGCGAGGGCGGGGTGAAATGCGGAGGTGAGGCCGAGGAACATGAAGCGAACGACGAGGAGTTGGAGAAGGGGGGGGGGCAAGGAGGACGAGGGCCACGGCGACGGCAACGAGGAGGATGAGGAGGATGAGGAGGAGGGAGGAGGAGAAGAGGAGGAGGGGGGAGGATGGGGGATGATGGCGAGGAGGCGGAGACGGGGGAATCTGCGATGTAGGCGTCACTGCTCGCTCACAGCTTGCACGCGTGTGCTCATACTAGCCGTCGCATCTGAAAACAACTCGCGACCTTAACCTTGCCTCATGTCCGTTTAATTGCATTAGAAGCGTCAGAGAAGTATCTCCGCCCAACAGAACCATATTTTGAGTCCACTGGAGGATGGCGAGGAGGAGCATGAGTGATGGATTACAAAGGGATTCCTTTTGTGGTGGATTACAAATGGATTCCTTTTGCGGCGGATTACACATTGCTTCCTTTTGTGAAGGAGTCCATTTGCGGATTACACATTGATTCCTTTTGTTGCGGATTACACATTGATTCCTTGGTGGCGGCTTACAGCTTGATTCCTTTTGTGGCGGATTGCAAAAGGAGTCCTTCTGTGGCGGATTACACATGGAATCCTTTTGTAGAGGATTACAAATTGATTCCTTTGTGGCGGATTTGCAAATCCCACCAGCCCTCTGGGCGTCGGTGGTTTAGGGCGTTTCCTCTTCCACCCCTCCCTCTTCCCCTTCGGGGAGGGGTTTGCCCCTCCCCCTACCCCCTCCCCACTGACCTGGACAGGAGGGGCGGGGAGCGGTCAGAGCGTCCAAGATGGCCCAGGACGGCCCCAAGAGGGCCTCGGAGAGCCCAAGGTCGCCTCCAAGATGGCTCAAGATAGCGCAAGATGCCTGAAGATGGTTCAGAAGACGCTCCAACACGTTCCAAGACCGCTCCAGGATGGTTCCAAGTGCCCACAAGAGCATCATTAGAGTGCCCTCGAAAGGCAGACCTGCTTCAAAACCCTAGGGGGAATCAATGTTTTTGGTGTTCTCACTTTTTCGCTTCCGAAGCCCATCCGAGGCCTCAAGATGGCGCCAAGATGTCCCAACTGGGCCCCAACAGGGGCCCAAGAGAGCCTAAACACTGCCTCAACAGCGCCCAAGAGCGCTCCAAGAGCGATCCAAGAGGGGTCCAGGAAGCGATGTTAGACAGTCTGGAGGGGCAACGCTAACTAAAGCTCTGCTCTTCTTTGATAGATTTGCTCCAATATGCC